GGGAGTCGAGGGAATGTAATAAGAACCTGGGAAACAATTTCCAGCAAGTCAAAACACCCAGAATGCATCATTTACTAAATAGATAGAAGACATAAATCTTGCTCTCTCTCCTTTCCTTTTCTATTCCCTGCTCTCTCCCTCTCGCTCCCACTCTCTTTTTCTCCTCACATCCTGAAGACTTCTTTCTCCTCATCTCTTCAGCCCCTACTTTGATTTCTTCCATTGTCTTTTCATTTCTCATTCATCCACTTCACCTAGGGCCCCTTTCTTCATCTCTTCTGTGCCACCCCTTCCCTTAATCCACTTTTTCTCCTGTCTTCCTCTTCCTTCCTCCTCTCTGACATCCTCTGCCACTCTCCCCTGGCCTCATAAGCATTCACATGTGCGCGAATGTCACAGTCACACTCTGACACTGACATGCTCATTAATCAGCCCAGAAAAACACTGTTGGGGGGAATGAAGCACACAGCGCAGCACACACACACACACACACAAACACCATAGCGTGGAATACAGGCATCTGCAATTCATTCACCTCGTCTGACGCACAAGCAGCACTGTCAAGGTCATGATGCATCCACAATCCAGCACTGGTGTTAATTCAGCTGGTTATCAGCAGCTGCCATATGTGAAATACACCCCAGCACTGTTCCTGAGATCAGAATGCTTCATAGTGTTATACAGAGATATAGTCTGTTTAACAACGACCTCTACCGCTGCTTCTAAGCATTTTCTAATTAAGTTTACTGAAAGATACAGCACAATCCACTACCATCTGTTTTCATTCCATCAATTACAAAAAGTAATACAATTTTGTCAGAGTATATCAATCAAAATTGGTCGTTCTTTACATATTTAAAGAAGACGACATTTAATACTACCTCAGGATGCTATGAATACTTGGCAATGCCATTTGGACTGGTCAGTGCCTCAGTTTTTCAAGCAATCATCAATGATGCCCTCAGAGATATAGTGGGAAAGTTCATGAAAATGACTTCTCAATCTACTCACACTCCCTGGCCCAACACTTGCAGCATATCAAAATGGCCTGTTCCAGACTGTCTTGCACAACAACCTCTTCAGAAATGCAGAAAAGTGTGAATTGCATAAGTCCCAAGTCACATTTCTGATGTTGTCATGGACAGTCAAAGTAGTGGCAGACTGACCCACTTCCCTAAACATCAAAGAATTGCAAAGAGTCCTAGGGCTTGCCAGTTTCAACCAACAACATTTCATCTGCAACTTTAGCACCATTGCAGTACATCTCACCTAACATCAGGATCAAAGAAACTCTTGTGGAATTGTGGAGGTCCCCAGAAACTGATGCTTTTACCACCCTGAAGCTAGATCACTGTCTTAAAACACATAGATCTGCATCTATCATTCATAGTACATGTAGACACCTCTGAAGAGGGGAAGGGAGCAATCCATTCCAAACACCATGGCATTCCAACAAAAATATACCATCAGGATTCTTTTCAAAGAAACACCTACCTGTGAAACTGGCACTGGAAGAATGGTGGCACTGGCTGGAGGGTGCGGAACACCCCTGTCATGACATGACAGATGGGCTCTCTTTTTCTTCTTCGATTTTACAATCTCCTATCATCCTGACTCTAAAAATGTCAAAGCTGATGCCCCATCATGCATCTACCCACCAGCTCCTAAACCCACGTCCACTGACAACATTTAACCAGAGTCATATTGCATCAATGTCATTAAGGACAACTGTCAAATCTCATACTTCAAGATCACCCTGCACTTTCCCAGTGCTCTCCAGACAAAAGTCCTTCAAATCATACATTTACATTTACAGCATTTGGCAGAAACCCTTATCCTGTGACTTACAAAGTGCTATGTAGTCTCTGAACAAATCTCGACAGAACCAATACAACAAGGTATGAGTATACTATCAAGCTAAAACCCTGTAAGAGAGGAGTTAGTACAACAAGAAAAACAAACAAGCCAGGATTTAAGTGCTTGGTAAAGAAGTAGGTCTTCAGTCATTTTTTGAAGACAGTCAGCATCTCAGATGTTTGGACAACCAGGGAAAGTCCATTCCATCACCTAGGCACCAGTATAAAGAAAAGTCTTGAAGCAAGCCTTCCTTGTACCATGTGGGAAGGTGTGTCAAGTTGAGGCATGCTGGAGACTCAGTTGGAAAGTGCTGCAAAAAGGGTTTGATAAGTGGGAGAACATGTGGAACTTTAGCCTGGGTGTACATGGAAAATGATTTGTCAAAATGTTGCATATCCTGTAGCATGGATTCCCAAAAGGATTTTGCTGGTAAGTAGTTGGTGGGTCTTGGTGATACTTTTATGGTGCCTTAATCACTTGGGCTTATATCTCCCCAGCTACTAATCACCCAGGTGTTACCAGCCACCCCTTTTCCCCTGGAACTCAGATGTACCAGCAGTCAATGAGTGGTTCCAAATGAGCAAAGGAGCATAAAAGGAGGAACACATGTGTTTAAGTCATGCTGTCCACTGACAAAAAGAAATGGTCGGAAGACACCATTTGAAGACTCCTGTCTATGAACCAGGGGATCATTTATGGTTATCAACCAAAGACCTTAGACCATTAATGCATTAATGAAGTAACCTATAAACTGCATTTGCCATGTCAATACCGCTTATCCCTAAGCTTCCAGGTCTCACTAGTCAGTCCTGTCGTGCCTGCTCTACTGGATGAAGATTGGCCACCACCACCATTAGACACTGAGGGAGCACTTGCCATTTTTGAGACTCTTCATTGCCAGGGCCACTCCACTATCTCATTGACTGGGAGGCCCTGAGGAACACCGCTGAGTCACTGCACAAGATGTCCTAAACCTGCTTTCATCAGAGATTGCCACCATTGCTGTCCTGATTGGCCAACTCAGTGGTCTAGGAGCTGACCCAGAATCAAAAAGTTCTGTCATGGCTGTGTAACTACAATTCCCATTATCTACAGCCTATGTCATATGATCATTAGTCACCAAACAACCAGCATCAAACACATATCTCCATTCTCAAATTTCCAGATTACTGATTGGACTTCCCTATTCACACTCACCCACACTCCCATAAATATCCCTGACAAGCTAACAGAGTTTGTCAAGTCTCACTCCAGCACTGAGTGTGTGACAATTCCAAGCCTTTGTTCTCTGCCTGCTTGCCTCTTTGTTTTGACTGTTTTTCCTGCTTGTCATTATCCCATTAGCTTTGTCTAGTTTAGACCTGTTTACAAATAGCCTGACACTTAGCCTGTCTCTCGTTTTGAGTAAAGCCTACCCATTTTGTTTGTTTGCCTGAGCGGTTTTTAATAAAAGTCATAAACGTGCAACTGCGTCTGCATCTGCGTCAATTTCCTATTTTGATAATACCTCAATTCATTTACGTAAGGTTCAGTAGTAACACATCAGTTGACAAACGTAACATTCTGAATGTTGGTGAATGATGGGCATTGTTCAGAAACCACAGTGGTGTCCTGTACTAAATCATGAAGTGTCAATCAAACGCTGTTACTCTTTGACAGTAATGATTTGACAGAATTATTACTGAACTGTGAATGTTAACCTGTTGTGTATATTTCTTAGAATATAAAATAGTTTTTTTTTTTAGCTCATGCTACTGAAGATATGCAAATGATGTGCAAATGTGAACAAGATATTTGGATAAATTACACTCGCATGTTTTGGTTTTCCGAAAAGGAATATATTATTGAACAGTAAGTATTAAAAACATTTCATATTTCCTAATTAATGACATAAACGCTCCATCATGGTGTTCTACTGACACTCTCTGTTACACGACCGCATTTTCACCCACTTAAAGGCTTACAAGCTTCTATGTTTACCAGCTCAACACTGCCATCATCAGACACAACACTGGCACTGCACTCAACGTATCCTATAACACAGCCAACTTGTGTGTAAGTTTACACACTGATAATCTGTGAACTGGACAAGACTGCCTTCAGAGGTAGCAAATACTTAATATATTTTATTAAATTATTTTATATTTATATTAATATATTTTATATGATTATAAATATATTAATTTCCAGTTGCGCCGTATTATTTGACTTGGCTTTCCTAGTAGCATCATAATTATCCCCACTGATATGTGCAAAATGTTTCTTCATGCATCATGCCTTTACTACACCATGCTTTAATGTTGTCAAGGATCGTCACAGTCTTTGTAGCGACACATAAATATTGGAAGAACTGTTGCTGTGGCCATTTAGGCATCCAAAGAGATTTGGAGTTTGGGCTGAGGGTACAGGATCGGTTACACAGTTACAGATACTGGTCTAAACTTTCCAGTATTTAAAACCATTATTCTACTCTTGCAATGGTTTATCTAAAAACAAAAATCCAACTGCAGAAAAACTCATTTTATGGTTCAAATCTTCTTCCGCAAGACACAAGTAAATTGAAGGTCTGCTTGGAAAATAAAAAGTCCATACACAGTAGTGTGTAAAGGTTTTAGGCACCCTATCTTTTGTACAAATTTTGTTATAGGTGTTTATATAACAAACAAAAGCATTTTATATTTTCAAACCTTACTTTTCCAACAAAAAAAAATCTATGGCTACAGAAAAATATTTGATGTCAGTAAGGGAAACAACATATTACATAAGAGACCACTTTTCATAAAGACATAATGAAGGCTGCTGGGTTTGTGACAGTCAAATTATCCAGAAGAACTGTGGCAAATCCTCCAAGATGCTCAGTAAAACTTTCCAGCCAATTTCCATATAAAACTGCATTTCTTTGCATGTACCTAAGATTTTAGCACAGCAATGTATGTGTGTTCATTATTGAAATGTACAACACATGTACTTCTTCTTGTTCTTCTTCTGGCTGCTCCCTTTAGGGGTTGCCACAGCGGATCAGTGGTCTGCGTATTTGATTTGGCACAGTTTTTACGCCAGATGCCCTTCCTGACGCCACTCTCCCAAATTTTATCTGGGTTTGTGACTGGCACTGGGAGAGCACTGTCATGTGCTGGGGTTGGTTCTCTGACCGGGTATCAAACCCGGGCCATGGCGGAGGGAGCGCTGAGGCCTAACCACTAGTCCTCCTGGGACCCCAATGTACAACACATGTAATGTTACAAATATGATTTTATATGCTATTGAATATATGGGAGAACAATAAAGTATATATAGGAAAGTATATATGGGAAAATAATAAAGTATAAAACTAAAAAAAGTTTGGAAGGTTGTATCTGCTTAGACTTTGTTGAAGGTCACAAACTTCATGGCTCAATCACCTAAAATATGATTTATCAGACAGAAATACGTAATTGTCTATGGCCTAATGGTAAAATAGTACTGATGGTGTAATATACTTTCAAACCTTTTCCATTTAAATTTGCATGATATTAAGGCCTGTTAACTGCTATGTATATACTATTTAGTCATAAAATCAAGATGTATTCATATCGCTAGCTTTACTGTATCATGCAAAAAAATATAGAAAAATGTACATTTGATATAATTTTGATTCCAAAACTAACAAATAAAGAATAGGGAAGTTAATAGGGAACTTAAGATCCAGCCATACAATTGTACTTAGTTAAATTAAGCCCTTAAAGCCCTTAATCTTGGATGGTATTGTTTCTACATTGCTGGCACTTTTGAAAGAAGTAGAGCTCCCACACCTCCTAAATCCCAAATGTGTGATTGCTATGTTTGGCTGTTTTTGGCTGATACATCTCATAAGGTGTAAGATACAGGAGCTGTCAGTATAAGATTACACAAAAGTTAGTTTCAATGCATGCTGCAAACTAAACAATACAGTATATCTGTAACAATTACACATTTTGCACCTTATACATATTAATCAATTAAATTTGTTATATTTAAACTATTTAAAGAGCCTCCAGTGTGTACAAAGAACATGTGCAGTCAAATGAGGCCTATATCCTCTATTTTATTTTAATAATTTATTGGGATTCATCAGTTTTAACATTCTGTCATTGTGTCAGGGGGGAGAAAGTGCATTAAGTAATCAGAGTGCTCTTATTAATGCCCCAAAAAGCAGATCCAATTGTACTAAAGCAGCGGCTGAGAGATTTGTCTTTGCCTGTTGGGTCTTTAAGTCTCTCAGGATAGTTTGGTAGCTGTAGAGAGTGACTGGCCTGGTTTCAATCTGTCAGAACTACAGTACTGTGCAAAAGTCTTAGGCACCCTATATTTCTTTAAATACAAACTTTGTTATAGATTTGTATTCTATGACTTCTACATTATCGAGTCAGTACAAAAACATTTTAGATTTCCAAACGTTAGTTTCCAAATGTTACAGAACAATGTATGCATGGCAGTAAAGAAAGCAGTAGGTTACGTAAGAGACCACTTTTCAGACAAAAAAAATAATTCATTTCCTCATAAAACTGCACAAACTGTTCCTGAGACTACTATGTTTTTTTTAAAGCAAAATATTGACTTTGTTTCATTTATTACTGTTTACTGCTCTTGATAGTATTTTTTTAACATAGAAACCATTTAATTCATTATTTTTGAAGGCATCATTGCTCTACAGCACTTCTTTGCACGTGCCTAAGGCTTTTGCACGGTACTGTATTACTGCTGTGACAGAATGAAGGTAACATGAATAATAAACCCCTGCATCTGCTGAGACTTGAGAGAAAACATTACATTTCTTAGGTTCATCCATGATATAATAGCTAGAATTTCAGCTTAACATGCCAAAATTACATACGTTCCTGGCAGTTTAAAGGGTTAATATTTATCTTGTGTGTAGTTTGTGTATTACTGTCAGCTCCTTTAAAAGCTCTACTGGATTGAATTCTGTCTGATTATAATTTGCTTGTATGTAACCATCTAGAGTATTAAACCAATTACAGTATTAAAAATGATTGAAATATATTTCCTTTGTATGTTAGCACTCAAGTTAATAACACTTTCATGTAGTCATACTACCACCTAAGAGAAGACCTCTATATTAAAAGTCAACACTGCCCTCTTTTGGCAGAAAGGGCTACCAGCACCAGCTATTTCCAATTTATATGCGGCACGCTCACCGCAACAGCCTGGGTTCGATTCCTGGCCAGGGAAAAACCCGCACAAGACACTGCACTTCCAGTGCCAGTCCCAGGATAAAATTGGGGAGAGCTGCATCAGGACGGCACCCGGCGTAAAAACTGTGCCAAATCAAATATGCGAACCAATGATCCGCTGTGGCAACCCCTAACAGGAGCAGCCGAGAGAGGAACAACAACAACAACAACAACAACAACAACATCTATTAGCATTTCTGTTCTCCCCTGAATACCATCACTGTGTGGTACAAAGTCACACTCCCTTCACTGGTGAAATGTTTGAAAATGTAGCTCCTCCAAGAGCATTAATACACCTCCTGCTGCTCTCTCCTTCTGTTTGTGGGATTATTGTGTAGCTCTCTTAGACTCTGTCTATCATACTTGGTGATGAAATTATCATAGACTGAAGTAGTTTGAATTGTATCTCTTTTTTTTTGGTTGTCTTTCTAGCCTTGGATACATCGTCTCTCTTTTGCTATGTCTCCTGCCTCTTATCCCGTTTTGAAACTGTACAATCGCCTATATGTGTGTGTGTGTGTGTGTGTGTGTGTGTGTGTGTGTGTGTGTGTGTGTGTGTGTGTGTGTTGAAGCAGTATGTCCTTGCAGTTGTTTCTGGTCAGAGCCTAGTGTGTGTATCATAGTCCGCTCCTTTAAAAGCTCTACTGAACTGACTTCTACATCATTGTATACTGCTTTGAATAAAATTGAAAATAGACATGAAATTAGTAAATGTAAATGTAAACTTATCGCTCTCAGGTTGTTGAAGAGGATGAAATAAACAATGTAAAAATGTGAGCTCTTACCTGTATGGTGTCTGTTGTCTATATTAAAAGAAAGGAGGAAATGGAAAAAGAAATAATAAATTAACTTTTGAAAGCAGAACAATTCTGAAGCTGAAACACACACTCACAGAATGCGGAGGCTGAAACTCACAGCGGCAGGTGGGTTTAGGTGAGTCCCACGTGCCCAGTTTGGTGCACTGCGTTGTGTTCCTGCCCTCAAGGATGAAGCCGCTCAGGCAGCTGTATCGCAGCACGGTGCCCTCCACTGCCAGGCCGGGCGGAGACACCATTACGCGGCCATTCTCCAGAGACGTCCATACCGGTGCACATGGCAGCACTGACACACACATACACATACACACACACACACACACACACACACACACACACACACACACACACACACACACACTTACTCTCTGTGAAATCTTGCCTATTCTTTGAGTCCTGAGCCGTGGACCATGTGTTCTGTGTTTCTGACACTCCACCACAACTCCACATCTTTTGCCAGTCTGGACATTATATCTACTAAGTGCACCTGTTAGGCCTCATTTGTTCAATGATGATGATGATGATGATGATGATGAGCAGTATAGCTCTATGTATCAGACAGCTCTATAGCTCAGACGAGGAGGAGGAGGAGGACTGGCAGGGACCAGAGGTCTGAGGATGAGGGAAGCTCAGAAACAGAAAATGAAGAAGGGGCCCCACCTCATCGAAGGCACTGTCAGGACACTATGCTCCATCAGGATGGACAGATTGACACCCCTGATGCCATGCTAGAGGCCCTTCGATCAACTTTGAACCAGGTCTGAAAATTCATGTGTTTAACGTGCGCTAAACTGCAAACCTTTAAAACTTGATTTTCTCCAGTTTTATGCATTGTGAATCCTTAATCCAGGAGATTAATGATCGCCATGATGAAGATCAAGGCATTATTTTTATTGGTACTATGATAATGGTGTCACATATATAACCTGTATGGATATTATGAATATTTATATCAATACGTCTTTATTTACGACACGTCTAGGATCATTTGATGCTACTTTGTGGTGGGAGAAGCGATAAAGAGAAAGACACACAGACAGATGCACCTGCACATTTCACTAAATTAATCAACATCATCTTCTTCTTCTTCTTCTAATCACTGGTTAGGGTCATTGTGGTTCAGGGGCCTATCACAGGAACACTGGGTATGAGGTGGGAATTCAGACTGGATGGGAACCATCCACACACACACACACACACACACACACACACACACATTCACACCTAGGGGCAATTTAGAGCTGCCAATTAACCTACTGGCTTGTTTTTGGAAGGTGGGAGAAAACCGGAGAACCTGGAAGAAACCCACATGGACATGGGGAGAACATGCAGAACTCCACAGTAACCTGAGCTCAGATTCACCAGAGCTGTGAGGTGGCAGTGTTACCCAGCGTGTATCAGTAAAGTCCAATACCACACACTCATCTCTGTGAATAACTGTCATACTTCTGCTAAACATCTAATTATCTCCTCGTCAGTTCTCTCTGCGGTATTTCTAATGTTGGTGAGTTGCCATGATGGAGCACCCAAAACAGATTCCAGCCCAGAGCTGTGTATAGCAGCTATGAGCTTGACATCTCTAAATGAATTATGGGCCTCTCAGTTTTTGTTGGCAAATCACATGCTTCAGTAATTATCATGCATTTAAATGAAAACACGAGCTGAAATGACCAAATGGAAGCCTTCATTTTTAACACGGCTCACAACAGCTGCGTAGGTGAAAGTACACATCTGACGTCACTTGGCTGCGCTCTAGCTATCCTATAAATAAAATGTCTGGCACACTAATATTTATGGATGAACTGAAAACTCACTTATACTACCAAAATTTGTGGTATATTTCAAGATTTCTTGTGCATCTTATTTGAGGCTTGGATGGAAGTAATATCATTCCTCACAGAAAGTAATTAGCCAGCCATTAGTAGGAGCAGAAAAGGAGAAACACGAAGCTAAGCTTACAGCACTTGCTGCGCTGGCTGAGATCAGTCCAGGTGCCATCAGGAAGGCATTTCCTGACCTTAGGCCCCACGATGACCCGGTTCCCCCTGCAGATGTATTCAATCTCATAGTCCACTGGTAAGACCTGCACACTGCGGATCTGAAACACAACGAACAGTGATGATTCACTACATCTAAACACATTCACAAAGTATTCACAAACATATGCACAAAAACAGGTAACCTGTTCTT